GCACAAATGTTTCTCAATTCCCATCTGTACGGATTGTGGTGGATTTTAATTTCGATAGAAGCAGAGCGCTCTCGAAAGTTCTCTAAAGCTAAAATCTAAGGAAAAGACTAGTAATGAAATAAAATCGGAATTAATCCATGCAAACAGAAGAACACCAGTTAAAGCATGAATGCTGAATGTGAGTGTTGAGTTTGCATGAACCCTAGGCCCTGACAACCTTCACTTCAGAGTGTGTCCAAGCCTGAAGCGGAGAAGTACAATAGCAAGCACTTTGACATAATGTTCATAATGGGTGTGGAACGCAAAGTTCTTCTGCAGCAGCTGCTTACTACTAATGAAATCTGGATCAGATAATTGGTTGCCTACGTAGAAGGCATGAAGCTGGTTTTGTTTAAAAGACCCTTATAAGCAACATAAAATAAAATCAGAAAAGAGATTTTTTTACAAGGAAAATAATACGGAAAAGGAGGGCTTTTGAGGAAAATACCAGAAGAGAAGTTGTGCAAGAGAAGTTGTTGGAAAAGTGGTTACAAGTGAAATAGGCAATAATTTGGTGCACAATGTAAGGCGATTAACTTAGGGTAGAAGGGCACATATTACGGCTCTCTCGAAGGTATTTTTGACGCGATTAAGAGGTGCCATCAAGCCACCGCCGAGTGCTGCGGGTGCCAAAAATGAATTAAGAAGAGCCTCAGTAAAGTCAAGATCCATTCAACCCTCATCCATTAAGTCAATTAATCGCTCAACTCAAAGAACTTACCATAAATAGAAGGCGTTAGCCTTGAGAGTAGAATAAATTCCCACGTCACTCTGCTGTGCCTTCTTGTGATGGCACTGTGTGCATCATGAATGTGATAGAATGGATTTGGTTGTCATATGTAAAGCGGACCATACAATTAAATGCAAATATAATAGAAACACCGATAGTTGGATCTCCATATTCCGGGGTGTTTTATCCAACTCCTGAGTCTTATCGGCTATCTCTTGATGGGAATTAAATACTTGTTCAGTAATTATTAATTATTTAAAGTTCCCAGGAGGAGTTAGTCGAGTGATGATCGCTGGCAATCTGCTAGGTGTGACAACAACGCTACTTCCGATGTATTTTGGTCACTTTAGCAAATAAAAGTTGTTGCAAGTTCTAAAAAGATTTTATAAAGCAATTCGAAATGAGCATTACATAGTTGGGGGTGTCTGTGGACCCAGCTCGTGATGTAATGAGGCACCGAAGTCATCCTTGAAGACATTTTCAACTTTCTAGTAGAAATTCAGAAGTGTAAAGGTGGAGAAAGACCCACAGCATACAATGAAAACACTTCTGAATCCCATCATCCGAGTTGTATTAAAACATGTTAGAATCCACAAGAGTTTGAGGTAGTGAGAAGATTGATGGTGAGATTTCACACTGCCGTCATGGGTGGAGAATCGAGAAACACAGAAATGGCGCTCTTATTACCGTACACATCATCAAGCAAATGTCATTCTTAGTCTTATTCTTTTGCTGTGGAATTTATCACTCAACTAAACAAATGTCAGACATGGGGACAAGAGGAAGTACTGGAAGATAATTTATTAAATGATAGAGGCAAAGAGGAACGAGGCGCGAAAAGGGGATGGGTGGGTGAAGGGCCGCTGCTTCTGTTGTACGCTGATTATGGGAACGTAGTGGTTTCTTCGTTAGTGGCAATTTACCTTAATCATTTTTAAATGCCATCATAGCAAGTAGACACGCAGCAAAGTAAGGGTTCTCAAATTCTCTACATTTTCAAGTGCATAAAGGCAGGGGCAGGGATGAAGGATAGGGTCACAAAGAAACTCAAGACATGGATGAGCTAGCTGAAAGAGGAAGTTTTGTTCACTGTTCATTATACGGGTGAAACTAGCATAAGTCCTAATAAGGGTTCCATTTGATCAAACATCGATGTCTATTAAAGGGATCTATTTTACATTTTCTTCCTTACTATTTGTTTTACTTACACAGACGCTAACGAGTTCCTGGTATTAGTTAGCTATGCATGCTGGTAATCCTTGTTCTAACTGGTTAGATTATGAGATAGCCGGTGAAATATTAGGGGATAACATGGTTATGAAATTAACGAAGAATAAGATGTTAACACATAAGATGGAACAATAGATCGGACTGATGTGATGTGATAAAATAATTTTAGAGCGAAGACTATCCCATTGGATAGGTTTATGGGACTCAAAGAAAGGAAGTGAATTAAGTCGGACAGTATAGTTCGTTTTAAAAGACCACAATCATGTGTCACGATAATGTCAACTTATTCTCCCCTTCTCTGTAGGGTGAGAATACCTAGCGAAGGGTTTAGGCTGGGTTAAGATGCTGATGATGACCCGGGGGAGTCAGGTTACCAGGGTAACAACGCCAACCACGCACGAATGTCACTTCATAAAACACCGAGACGACTCAAATTTAGAGGGGAAAAACGTGAGTTTTTAATTTAGGCCGCACAACACTCTAGCTTGGATTTAAGGGACATAGATCAGAAGTGAAATCACTCAAGTGTTTTTCATAAACGAAACCATTCGCTTAGATCTCCGCAGTCGCCCACACAGCGGCCTTTGTATCGCCTGCTGGGAGTGCTACGCATGCTGGCTTAGTCGCAACCCCGTCTCTTGTCCATAATTAATTTCTAACCTCATGAATTTTACAGTGCCCTCAGGTTTGACTTGGGTTAACACGTCTTAGTGCTTAATAATCTTCATATAGTGGGTTCCACAGCATTTTTGCGGACGGAAACGCTGAGAACAATGCATCCAGAAAACAGGATTTAGTTCAATGAGCACACAAGCATAATTAATCTTATATTGGCCAGCAACTGTTCAATTTTAAGGTAATAAAACTAATTCTAGATGTGCATACCTCCCACCCTTCAGGAGTGACTCAGGTGGCACAAATAATATTCAGGTCAGTTGCACCCCCTAAATGACCAATTCTCCCACATTTTAATAGAGGTTGTAATTTTTGGCAAAAGAACCATTGATAATGATTAACAACTACATTATTACGATGTTTGTTATCATGAGTGGGAACAATATGTTAATTCCCATCTAGAATCTATGATGTTGCTTGAGAATGGTACTGCATTGCCATAATCCTTGGCTATTCATTTAATACGGGTGTAATTTTACAGATGTTAGCAAACAAACAAGCGTGACCTTGTCATCAGATGTCAATTCTGGTTAAAGCTAAAGTCTGTTCGTTATTTGGGTGAGCAGTAAGAACTTACAAACCAGGACAGTTAGAATTTTAAGGGTTACTGGAAGAGATGCTTAAGTAAAGCCGCGGTGATACTACATGCAGTTGTAAGCGTCAACTAGGTCCTCCAAGTAGGTCCAATTACAAGCCTAGTAGCTGATGCACATGTAGTATTTGGATTAATCCAGTTCAGTTCATTTCCCTCATTTCTTATCCAGTCTAACACAGACCGATTTGTTTCAGGCAATCTTCATTAAAATGGCAGGGGACAGCAATACTGCTAGTGAGTGTGGGCATGCAACACCATGTAGTGCGTGATGAAATAGTTCTTTTATACACAATGAGGGTGCAAAACTCTAATCTGTGGATAAATATTCGTATCTACAGAGGACTTCAAAAGTACTGTGGTACAGTTCCAGTAAGGTGATGATTGCACGCTTATCGGTAATAAGACACTTTAGTTGGGTACGGAGAGTTCAAGGGTCCTCACACCAGTGACTCCCAGCCCATTATCGTGACAGTCCTATTAACGAACATTCAGCTTCTGAGACGGGTGGCCCCAGCAGCCGCTGGGTATGTGTCCTGTAGACTAACAAAAATGCACAAGGCATAATGCTTCCTGTGGTAAGGACGAGTAAAATAAAGGCGTTTAAGAACACGGTCTTTTTATTCCAGATCCCCAGACAGCTTCTCAGTTTTTTTGAGCACAGAGGGATTGCATGCTGCACTGCGATCGCATCAATAAATGTGGCAAAACCTCAGTTTGTTATTTCACACCCGAATCAAAGCAAACTGCAAAGCCGAGTAAGCACGTGGAGGTAGGATTTTCAACACAGACTGTCAAAATCTTCCCAATAGTAGTTAAGAGGTGTGACAAGAAATCATGCTCAGTTGAGGACCGTGTAGAAAAATTAATGCATCATAACGCTTTTTTCAATGAGTTATTTTGTATTCTTGATAAGCTCAAAAGTCCCACTTTGCCTTGGGAATCTCTGTTACTTGTGAAAAAGCTTCAAGAAAACGCATTTAATGCATATTCGGCGAGCCGGATTGTGCAGTACGATAAAGTGGTGTACGCATTCTTGTAAGATTGTAGTGAACACATTTTAAATTCCTGTATATCAAAAGACTTTTAAATCAACTTCATTAATTATCTACGAATGCCCTGACTACATAGACTGTCATGACTTGGCAGACTTATACTCTATCTCCCGTAAGAGCAACTTGAAAGGCCTTCTTTCACGAGCTGGGTGCCCTTCCCCCTCTCTTCCCTCACTGGTACAAAAAATTAGGTGTGATTCCTGACATCGGAGGTGGCTGTTTGATGTCCCGTGGGGGTGATATGCTCTAAGTCTAATTAGATCGCATGCACATACATCGTCTATTTATCGGCAGGACTCCCCTCTCTTGCCACGACTGGCCACAATTTTCTTTTTCGCTTTGCCCCCGTAGGCAATTTGCCTAATAGGCGCAAGGTACATGCATACACACAATTATCCTAATTTACCCGTTTCAGTGGAGGTGCTCTGTAAAGATGACGGAAAGCTTTTGCCATGCCGCCGAGGTGTGTGTGTGTGTGTTCTGAGTTACGGACCTTTGTTGTGTAGCTGGTCGTGAGATTTTGCCTTCTACAAGCGCCTGAAGTGCATCCGCGGCTCTTACTCCATGTGCGTTTCGGTTATCTATACATGCCTAAGAGGGATCCCAGTAGGCACTTCAAATTAATCGCCCTGAAGTGGAGATTGAACTGCGTAGTGTGTAAACAGGGTTGCATTAAGTATGCAATGTCCAATAATTCACACGCTATTTCATTTTAACTACTCCTGGTGTTTAGCCATTAAGTATAGGCTTTACTACTGTCACGAACTTGCTGCTTAGCTTGTTTTTATCACCCAAGGTGAGAAATCGTATTACCTTTCCAGTGCGAGTTCGTTACAGCATCTGCAATAATCTGTGAAACTCCAAGCTAGATGACTACCTTACTCGTACGATATAATCCTCGTAGAAAGCAGATCTGAGCTGAGCACATGGTTAGCTAAATATAGCTATAGTGAAGGAGTGAGCTGGCAACAAAATTTGACGCGGCTACTGCCATATCCATAATGCATACTGGAATCGGAGTTGGATGGGTAGTAACGTTCCATCCCATGGATTGAACAAGCAGGACTCAGGGGAGCAACCGCCGCCTCAATTTAGTCTATTGTAGACCCTAAAACATCCCAGTCCGAAAGTGGCTTCTGAAGGGTGGGGCAACCAGCAGTATCGATGCGGTATGAGGAGGGTTCAATGCCACAAGCGTGGAGGCCAAGGCATCGGCGGCAGGAAAAGGCCTGCCAATTCGCGCATAAATTCTAAGCAGGTACTGTCAAGAGGGCTTTTCATTAACACACCTAGTAATCTTTATTTCCTTCTCTCCCTTGAACAGATTGTCCCTCTGCCAATATCTGGAGTATTGTCAGTTAACCCATCTACTCTGGCTATTCAAATTTAATTAATTGTCATTATTGTTATCACTTCCATGGCTTGGGGCATCAGGAGCAGACAGCATTGTCACGCCAAGTTTCAAAAGCAGTCATGTGACAGATTTGCATTGCTCGGTTAACATTCGCATTAATTTATTCACTGTCCTGTAGCTATCCTTACGCACAGGATACTAGTACCCTAGTAACCACTAATGGTTAAGGGAGCCGGGCGAGAACAAAGCAGTAAAGATAAACGATTTGTGGATTTATATCGGCAGCTAAGACGATTATGCCGCTTAATCACGATGGCATTTCTAACAAGATTGAGGCTCCTGATGAGAAGGCACAACACCCAAATTGAAATTAGGCTGGATAAGTCCAAATTTTTGCACATATAGCAAAATAATGCAGATAAACATTGCAATTTTACGTCAGACTACTTATTAATTGGTACAAATTTAATTGCTGTAATATTACTAAGTACTTATTACAAAACTGATCATTACTAATTAACGTCTATTTTAAAAGCTTATGTGAAAAGGTACTATTTTTAAAAATTGACTGTATGAGCATTCATTCCTGTACCATCAAATTCTCTCCTTGCTTTCAGATATAACCAAGAAGTCCTTAAATAAATATTTATGGAAAATTCCACGTCTTAAAGTAATCATTCGATGTAGGGTCTACGTGGGAGCAAACCAAGTAGTGCAGAGGGTTCCAAGAGGCAATACTCATGGTCACCCATTGAAATAATTGAAATAAGCGAAGATATTTTGTACGGTCTCAATTTAAGTATTCTTGCTAAAAGAAGTCATTTACTTCAAATTAAAGAGATTTTGCACACAGGCTTCATTAGAAAGTTCTAAGCTGCTTTCATAATTGCAAGAGAGTAAGCATAAAAGTGCCCTAAATTTGATTAAATGTTTTAATTGTGTTACTTGCCTTGAGAACTCAAAGGAAATATTTTACAAATGCAAAACTTTCTTATTTTACAATTAAGCACATTTTTGTCATTGGAGTTTAGGAAAAACATCTTCCACCACAGCCCTCAAAAAATGATTTTTTCATGCCTTGTTGCTCCAAAACTGGAAACACAGTTATACTCATAATGCAAACACGCTACGGCCACCTTTCTGTTATTTTAAACTAAACCAAACGGTTTGTGGCACCATTTGATGAAGACTTTACATACGGATGGGGGAAGTACATGTCACGTACGCGACGCTAAAGGCGGACGCATTAGGGTAATTTTTTCCCTTAAAATACATCAGATATTCGTCTATGTTGTAAATAAGTGTAAAAGCATATAAGGAAATTACATGAAATAAATGGAACTGTGTACTTTCTTTTACCACCCTGGGCCATTGTCCATACCATCGATATATCCTCGAATAATAAGGCGCTATTCATGCTACAAACGAATGCAAAATACATAAGCGCCAGGTAGCTGAAAAACTTGTGCAGTTTTCATCATGGCTGGCCACAATGACATTATGTGA